AGGCGCGACAGGAAGTTGTAGACGTGCGTGAAAATGGCGAGCATCGGACGGCGATAGAGGAACACCTGGACCCAGCAGCCCACAAGAGAGGCTAACAGGGAGCGTGTGGTGATGCCGAGGTAGATTTGGATCAGGGTCAGCCTGCACAAGGCCACCGTCCGCACTAAGGGAGCGCAGACGATGCCTATGCGCCCTTCCACCTCGGCGCCCACCACCACCTTGTGCGTTTCGCCGCGCGCGCGCTTGCCTGGATGCTGAATCAGGCCCACGCGCGGGTAGCCTGCATCGCAGGCGGCGAAGACCTCACGATCACGACGACAGGGGTCGTCGGGGCGAGGAGCGGAGCCATGCCACGAGAGCTTCTGAAAACCTGTATGGTCATCAATATTCAGCATCTCGACAAACGGGCCCCGCGGGAAGGGCGAGCGGTGGACAACCTGCTCGTGAGGCCGCAAGGCCCCGAAGCTGTGCAAGACGCCTTCATGTGCAGAGTTGGCAATCTCCACCGCCATGTTGTCGCCCATCGCTAGAGCATTGAGGCAAGGCGCGACGTCCACACCTTCGAGCTCGGGGCGCCAGGCTCGAAAGGCCTTGAAGCGGGATGATGGCAGACGAACGCGAAGGGCGTTACGCCTGGCGCGCGCGGGAGGAACGCGGAAAGTGTAGTAAAACTCCCGTAGGTCGTCGCAAGAAACTGCCAGCCACTCCCCAGGCGCCAGACCCAAACGGCACAGCAGGAAACCCTGGCCAAGGCGCTGGGTGCTGGATGAGATTGAGGCACAGCGGCTGTTCACGACCGTTGGGTTCAGGATCAGCCTGTCGTAGTCGCTGTCCTTCGGTACCCTGAAAGCTCCGCAGGCTTCATCCCAGGCGAGGTCCGAAGCAGGAGTCAGGTACAGGGCGCCGCAGGCATCCCACTTCTGGAGCAGGGCCCACAGCTCGGCGCGGTCCATATGGACACGCGCCCCCTTTTGGCCAGCAGGCCACTCTGACGCCGGGAGCCGCATCTCCTCTGGATTGATGAACGCTTCGCGGACTCGAGCGTCAGAGAGAAATGGAATGGGATCAAACACTGGCGAATAATCCCACTTAATGCGAGACGCCCTGACTTTTAAATCGAAGGGCTCGACCTGGGTGGAGTCCCAAGCCGCCGCAGACGCCAGCGAACCAGGCACGGAAGGAGCGCTGGTCGGGCAGTGCCGCATGGGGGCGGGCACGGAAGAAGAGGAGGTGAAGGAGGCCTCCAAAGCTGCAACATGGGTGGCCAGGCCATGGAGCGAGACCTCAGTAGAGTCGAACTTGGCGAAGGCTCGACCTAAGTCGCTCTTGCCACCACGGGCGAGGCGAACTGCGATCCGACACAACCGTTCGATACGGGTGCGGACGCCCTCCTGGCAGGGCGAGACCGTGGCACGGACGCGAGCCTCGGCGGGAGCGAGGCTAGGATGACCCAAAGTGAGCCAGTTCAACGCAATAACAGAATACTGCGCGAGCGTCCGCGCCGCGCGCCGCAATCTCCAGCGCTCCCTGCGCCTCGCCGACAAGCCGTCAGGCGGGGGACCAAGAGGTGGAGCAGGCGGGCACGGCCAAGGATCGCGGGGAGGCGGCCCCAAAAGGCACGGGTCGTCCCGGTCCATTGCACGCATAGATGAGCGGGAGAAAGATCCAAGAGAACATCGAGCACCCATCCCAACCTGGGACAGCGCTGCCGCCCAGTGGGTGATATCAATGTTCGCGCCTGGAAACAGGCGCAGCAAGGCAGACAAGTCAGCGACAAATGGCGCGACGTTGGCAAGAGCAGCAGGGGTGCTTGAAGGAGAACAAGCACCAGCAAGAACACCAACCTCAGGGGCTGCAGGCCCCATGGGGGGAGCGCTCGACTGAGGCAGGTGACGGCCAAAATGGCCGAATGGATCCGAGGGGCGGTTCGGAGCAGAGCGAGGGGCGTGGTGGCGGAACGTACTCCTCCCTGCGGGGCCGCAACAGCATCGCTGGAGGAGCGCATTCCTACCCTCACGCCCTCGCTGCGCCCAAACACGCCTAGCAGCCATAGCAGCGTCGGTGCAGACTGTCTGCGGCGGCGTACCTCGGCCACGCGAAGGCCCCCCCTCCAAGAAGGCGGGCGCCAAGGGCATCTTCAGTCCTTCTTGGGCACCGCCTTCGGGGCCTTGGGAGCACCCTGAGATTTGAAGGGGGGCTTTGAGACCTTGGGCTGCTTGGGCTGATGAGGTGGATGCTTGGGGAGCGCGACGGCGCGCTCGGCGTCGAGGCGCGCCCGAAATGCTTGCAGCTCCTTCATGTATTCGCCCTGCGCCGACAGCCAGCGAGGATCCACTAGGGGTGAAAACGGGGTCTGGGCCTCGCGCTCCGTGTGACGACTGGTCACGCGACACGGGGGAGGCTCCAGCCCCGTGAGGAACCAAGCGGCCTCGAGGTAGCCGCGGTCCCCCGCCAACTGGTCGATGAACATGCACTGGCAAGTCAGCAAGGTCTGGACCCTCTCGGGGTTGCCCTCCTCGCAGGCCCGCCACAGCTCGGCGCTGAGGAAGGCAAAATGCGTCAACAACTCGTGCGTCGACGGCTGAGCCCCGAGGGGGCTGTGCTCGCGAAAGTACTGATGCATGGCCATGGGGGTCACGGCGCTGACTTCCACGCCCAGAACGCGGGCCAAATTCTCCTTCATCAGTCCTCGCACGTCGGGGCCGTGCTGCATCAGCGCTTGCTGCCACTCGCGCCTCCGAGCGATTCCCCCCATCTGAGCCGATGCGTGCGCGGGGTCGCCCGAGGTCGCGGGCGGAGTTTGAGCTTGGTCGCTCAGGGTCCCCAGAAGCGGGTGGAAGGCTGGGCGATGGCCCCGCCCCTGCTGCAAGGAAAGGGACTGGTGCAGGCACTGAAGCATGAGGCTGAAGTCCGTCGGATTGGCCGCAAGGGGCGGCTCTAACCCGTCGGCGCCGCCCGCCTCGGCAAAGCCGTCGACCGCAGCGGGATAGGCTAGCCCAGGCGGCGGCGGGGGGCCCATCGGTCCGAAAGCGGACGAAGGGGCCCGAGGGACAGCAGAAGAGCGCGCCTTCTCCCACGCCGAGACCAGCGCGGAGGTGGGTCCCTTGGGGCGCGCGGAGACCCGATGAGGGGCCACGGGTGCGTGGGACAAGACGGCCTCGATCCCCGCAGGATCCAGCCCGAGGCGCGCCGCCTCGTCGCTGAAAAGCTGAGGCACCTCGGGCCGAGCGCTCTGGGCAGCCGGAGCGGGGCCCAGCGGTTCGGGTCCGCCGACCATCGTGGAGGCCGCGTGGGCTGCAAGCAAGGCGCGCATTTCGGCAGCTACCTCGGCGCGGGTCATGGGAGCCCCGTCGTCCAGAGACGCCGCAGGAGCGCCAGGAGCAATCGGAGCAGGACCCGCGACCCGTGGCGGCGCGGCGGCGCCAGCGCGCTTGGCGGGCGGGCCGCGCGGCGCTCCAGCGACCGCGGGGGCTCGCGCACTTGGGGCCGCGCGGTCGGCTTCCCCGTCGGCCGCGAACCCCTCGGGCTCCTCCATCTCGTCGGCAGAGTGGTAGGGGGTAGCCCGATCGGCCCCTGGGAGAGGCTCTTCCCCTGCGGTAGGCGGGGCGCCGTGCAAACGAGCGTAGCCCTCGCGAAGCACCCGAACCCCCGAAGGATGCGGCCAATAGACGCGGCTGCGCACCTCGGCGAAGGGAACGATGCCTGCGTCGTCGCCGACCTCTAGAGGGTACAGCGACTCGAGCTCGAGCTCGGCAACCTCGATATCTATAACGAGGACGGATGCGGTAGTGGCGAGCGGCCGTGAAGCGGCCCCCTGGAGCTGGACGTCCACTAGCTGGAAGGGGCCTATCATCCCAGCAAAGCCATCCGCCTCGGCAGCCTCGAGCTCCGCTGTAGAGCGAAAGGCACCAGGCAGGGCCAGCAGGATGCCCCCTTCTCGAGAGGCGAGGGGGATAGCCGCCCAGCTGGTGTCGCCGTCGTCTAGGCGCCATCGTGCGTAGTCGCGCGCCGTGGGCGCAGCGAAAGGGTAGAGCTCGGGCCAAAGGGGCCCTCCGCCAACTGGTGGCAGCTCCGCCATCAGTGGGCGCCGCCGTGGACGCCGCCGCCCGCACGCTGGGCGTCTGCCCGCTCGAGCGCTTGAGGTCGAGGCGGAGCCCCGTAGGCCAGCGCTCGCGCCGCACGGCGGTCCTGCTCAGGTGAAGCAGAAACCGCGCCGCGCGGCCAGGCGAAGGGCCAGAGCCTCCGCCACACGTACGGGCCCAGCAGCCCGAGGCAGCAGCCCGCGCAGGCGCTGCAGGCGGCCGTCACCCAGAGGAGGGCGGCGACCGTGCTGAGCAGCCAGGGAGAGACCCCGCCGCTCAGGTCCACCGCCAGCCCGAGGCAGACGGTGGGGCAGGTGGAACCCGCCGAAGGGAGAGGGCAGGAGGCCCCCTCGCCCTCGGACGAGTCCGCCTGCAGGATGGACCAGGCAGGAGCTGGAGGCCCCTGGTCCTGAAGCACAGAGAGGGGGGCAGCCACGAGCCGCTCGTAGAGCGCGGCCCGCAGCCCCCTGAACAAAATCTCCCCAGCGCCCTGGAGAGCCGCTTGTGCGACCGCCTGCATAAGGCGCCCGCACGCGCGGCCGACGGGGGGCACTTGGGCAGAGAAGCTGCGGAGACAGCAGGAGCTTGCTCACAGAGAATAGAAGAGGCATGATGTGTGTGATGGTGCTGGTGATGGTGATGGTGATGGTGATGGTGATGGTGATGGTGATGGTGATGGTGATGGTGATGGTGATGGTGATGGTGATGGTGATGGTGATGGTGATGGTGATGGTGATGGTGATGGTGATGGTGATGGTGATGGTGATGGTGATGGTGATGGTGATGGTGATGGTGATGGTGATGGTGATGGTGATGGTGATGGTGATGATGGTGATGGTGATGATGATGATGGTGATGATGGGCTGGGACCTCCGCCCTGGAGCTCCTCGAGGCGTGGGAGGTCCCGCCCCCGCGCGCCCGAGCGGCTGCTGCTCCGGCGGCGGCCGCCGGCGCCGGGGCCGCGGGCGCCGCTGCTGTTCCGCGCGGGGCGCCGTCGCGAGGGCGTGCGCGCGGCCCTGGGCGCCGTGGGGGCGGCGAGGGCCTGCGGAGCCCGCGGGGACGACGCCGACGCCGACGACGCCGACGCCGACGCCGACGACGACCACGACGACGCCGACGCCGACGCCGACGCCGACGCCGACGCCGACGCCGACGACGACGACGCCGACGCCGACGCCGACGCCGACGCCGACGCCGACGCCAACGCCGACGCCGACGACGACGCCGACGACGACGACGACGACGACGACGACGACGCCGACGCCGACGACGACGACGACGAACACGACGACGACGACGACGACGACGACGACGACGACGACGAACACGACGACGACGACGACGACGACGAAGACGACGACGACGACGACGACGACGACAACGACGCGCTGGACGAGGCGGCCTTACGCGGCGGCTTGCGCGGTGGCGGTTTGCGCGGCGGCGGCTGCGGGACCCAGAACACAGCGCGCTGTGAAAAGTCACAGCGGGCGGCGTTTCCGCGCGGATTCCTTGCATCCGCGCTGGGCCCCCCTGGCGGCGCCTCCGGCGCCACCCTTGGCGCGCTCCGCGCGCCACGGGTGGGGGGTCCAGCACAGATCCAAGAAATCCGCGCGGAGCGCCAAAAGTTTGGCGATGTTTCTTCCTTTATTGATTTGCCTCAAACTTGATTTGGTCGTCGCACCTCCGAAGCATGGGTAGAATGTTAGCAGATCTGACAAACATTCTACGCATATTCCTCGTAGGTTCGACGACAGTTTCACTTTTGGGGCAAATTAATGATGCAGCCGATCCCCTGCTCAAGGAACCGCATTCCCCCCTCGGCGCGCCGCTGGAAAGTCGAACCCTCAGATCCGTCGCTGCGAGCGAATTGCAACACCGGGAAAAAAACCTCGGCCAGCGCCCTCGGCGCAAGTCGGGCGTGTCCCTCTACGGGAGCAAAATTCAAAAATAGTAACAAAAAATCGGGGGACGCTTGTCCGACAATAGTTGACTATTTGTAATGATTTCTTTGACTATTGTGTACTATTCGTCCAGAGTCCGACTGTACGAGGACATGGCCGACCGAACCCTGGGCCCATCTTTCTGCCGCATTTTTCTAACCGGATCGATCTGTACTGGTCTGGGGCCCGAAACAAGGCAAGAACGCCAGGTGTGAGACAAAATTGCGACGCCGGGATCTCAGGGAAGATGATGCCCCACCCTCTAAGCTGGAGTTGCGGGTTTGGCGCAGATAGGTCGGTGGCGAGAGACGCAATCGTCATGAATTGTTTACTGTTGGGTGCAATGATGCGCATCTATTGCGGTGGGGCGCGAACTATCCCACGGGCGGCAACTACTCCATCCGAGAAAACTTACACAACTGCATCCACTTGCAATATTGCAACCATCACTGAAATCATCGCATCCTGGCGCCAACTATTGCAAGTATTCGGATCGGCACGGGGGTTTGCCCAGGGGATAAGGGGTGTTATCAGTGAGTGGCAAGATGCGTTACATCTGGCATAACCTATCTTGTAAGTTGGCTACAAATGCCCCAAGTGGCTTCTGGGGGAGATAACTCCGCAACGTGGGCGGAACCGATCCAGCCCGGATCGTGAGCCCCCCTAAGTCACTTGGGGCATCTGTAACTCCCGCGCCGATCCCAGGAAACAGTCTTTTTGGAATCCCGGTGGCGCCACCGGGCGTGACCAGGGGGCGGGGGGGGTGGGGGGAGGGGGCCGAACGCGGCACGATTTTCGCGCCGACGCCGTTCTGGAATGGCTGGGAATGGCCAATCCCCACACGGCGCCTGCGCGAATCGTGGTGCGCCAAGGAGGCGGGGGAGGGGGGGTGACGGTGGGGCTGGTCTGACGCGCTCCGTCAAACTCGGTCGCGCGTGCGCCCGCGCCCTGTCCCTGACTGCGCTGCATTCGACAATATACTGCCATGTACGCCTCATTCTGCTTGATGCGTGCCGGCTCGTCTCGCATCAGGCGCGGTGGCTGGTGGTCGTCAAACAAGAAGTACATCACGGGCAGTCGCGGATAACACAAGAACGGGTTCCAGCACTTCGGCTTCGACGCCGGCCCGCCCGCTTCCCCCCCTCTCGGGCGCCACAGGGAGCCACAAAACCACGACTGGGTGGATTATTCGGGAGGGTCCCTCGGGGGAGAGAACCCACCGACCTCGACATGATCACTGTGGTTGTGGTCGTGCGCTTTGGCCGTCTTGGGGCGTCACATCGGCCACGATCAAAACCAAGCTGGTTTCGCTGCTCTGACGGCAGTTGGCATGCATAAGATTCGCCCCTGGATGTGTCCTCGACGTGGTTGTGGTCGCTCGCCGCCGTAAGCTGCCAGCGGAAGGTCGCGCGTAACGCGCGCTCGTCTCCCATGTAGCGTGCCGCGCTGGCGGCCCGCGTAAGTTGTCGCGCACGGTCGCTATGCTATCTCCCCAAACCCCCGACGTCATGATTTTTTAACAACGTCGACCCCCAGAGGTCTGGACCCCTTCCCCCTGGACTGGTTTTTCGTCCCTCGCCATTTTCTTGACCGCCCTGGGGCCTGGTAAAGGGTCCCTGGAGGCCGACAATAGCGGATTTTCAGCGGTGCGGCGGCCAAATCAAGCTTGAGGTAAACCAATTCTGTAGTCGATCCCCTTCTCGAGCTCTTGGAGGGCTCCCGGAGAGGTCTTCTCGCCAGGGGATGGTTTATACAGCAGCTGCGCCTCGCCGAGAGCTTGCCGATGGGGTGCCCGGATCTCGTCCCGAACGGCCGCCGGGGAGGCCCGAGTTGGGCCCCGATCGATCCAGCTCGAGAAGTGCCGCAGACAGTCATGAGCGGAGAGCATCTCCGTATCCACACCGTCGCGGTCTGGATTCCAGGGCGCGATCCCGTGGATACGCGGTCGCATGGATGCGTTCCGCGCGGGGCATCCGCAAAACAACTCCCCGTGTCCATGGGATCGTGGACCAAGGGCCCGGCCCGGGAGGCCGTGGGTATGGACATGTTCCCCTCCCACGGGAGAAAGATTGGGCCCCATGCTCTTGTCGCGATGCTGCTGCGATGCTGCAACTTCTGCAGCAGCGTCGGACCTCAGGGTGGGCGGGCACCCAGCCCTGCGGAGGAGGAGGAGGAGGAGGCGGAGGAGGAGGAGGAGGAGGCGGAGGAGGAGGAGGAGGAGGAGGAGGCGGAGGAGGAGGAGGAGGAGGCGGCTGCCATGCCGCCCTCCAGTGGCAGCTCCTGCGAGCAGCCCTGCGGGCCCCGGACCCTGCTCGTGGAGGCTGCCCTTCGGCCGCGTTGTGCCTCGCGCCGACGTCGCCGGGCCCTCCCACCTGCGCGCTGCCCTGGGGCCTCCGGCGTGGAGCCCTGGCCTCTGTGAGCGAGCGCGGGCTCCGATGCCACTGCAGGGGGGCGTGGGGGGGGGGGGGGCGCGCTCCGGGATCCCCCCAGGCTTGCGCGGGCAGGGTTCGCAGGAGCGTATGGGCCCTTCCCCGTGCCACTTGCAGCCATCACGCTTCCGAGCCCTGGAGCCTCTGAGGTCAGAGGGCTCCTGGCGATGCACAAGACTGAGCTCCGCACGGCGTCACATCGATCAGATAGGTTTTCTTATTCGGCGTTTCGACATTGGGCGAAAAGCGGCTGGCTCCGGACCTCTGCCCAGTGCGACTGCTGGCAGCAGTGCGTCCTATGAGGGGGAGACCCCAGCTGCTCGAAACAGGCGCCCAGAGCAGCCGAGATCCACTCCACGGGGGGCGGGCGGGGGGGGGGGAAAGCCCACGCCGATCGGTAGTAGAGGAGAAAAACAAAGCAAAAAAAAAAAAAAAAAAAAAAAAAAAAAAAAAAAAAAAAAAAAAAAAAAAAAAAACACGCCGTAAACATAAACGTTTGGCGTTGCGCGCGGACTTCTTGGATCAGCGCTGGAAACCCCTCCCTGGCGCGCGGAGCGCGCCAGGGGCGGCGCCGGGGGCGGCGCCGGAGGCGCCGCCGGGGAGGCCCAGCGCGCATCCGAGAAATCCGCGAGGAGCGCTAAAAGTTTGTGTCTGTGGCGTTTTGCTTCTTCGAGATCAGAAAACCATCGCAGGAGGACTCGGCGGTGGTGCTCAGCGGACCGCGGCCTCAGGCCGGCAAAGAGCAGAGCAGGGCAGAGAGAGAGAGAGAGAGCGCGGACGACGGGCAGGTGCAGAGGCCGCGCGGCGCCGTGCCGCACGCCGGCGGCAGGAGGGCGCGCACCGCACCCGTTTTTTCTCTCCTCCCCGCGCGCACCTCGGGCGGCGGCGCACGGCCGTGAACTCGGGCACGTCCCTCTGCAGAGGGGATAAATCAAAATAGGCAAAAAAAAAAAAAAAAAAAAAAAAAAATGGGGGCGATGCTTCGGCTATGGTGTGGCTACGTTTGAACACGTTTTGGACATGTGATTCATTTTTCGCCCAAGATCTGCCTGTAAGGGGACATGCCCGACCTAACACCACCGCCCCTCCTCCCCCTCCTCTTCCTGGGCTCGCGCCAGGCGATGCCAAAGGGGGTCACAACCAGGGAGGCACCCTCTCCTCCAGAGAGTGAAGCCTCTTGGAGCCCCAGATCCCTCCCAGAGGACTCCCAAAGACTAGACGAGCGCGCTCCACTACTCGTAAAGTAACTACTCGCAAATGGCCTGGATCCGCCGGGTGGGATCTACAATCACTTTCATTTAAAAAACAAATATGTTTCGGACGTTTTGCGAGTAGGTATTGTGCGAGTAGTGGAACGCGCTCGGTGAAAGACGCCCAAGAGCGCCCAAAGCCTCCTCTTCGATCCTCGACTCTCCGTCATCCCCGATCCTCGACCTCCAGGAGGAGGCGGTGGCTCCCTCGTGGTATAACTCCCCCCTGGGCGCTGCTGAGGGGAATGTTAACTAGGGAAGGGCCCGCTCAGCAGGGGGGGGACATCGACCTGGAACCGGCGATAGGCTCAGGTCGGGCATGTTCTCCTACAGGGGGACTTACGACGAAACATGAAAAAGAGTCAACTATATTCAAAAACGGTTCGAGAGTGCTGAAAAAATCGTCCCCTGTGGAGGGACGTGCCCGACTTAACGATAGGCACCCGACAGCGAATCCCCACGATCCTGGGCGCGGTGGGCCATCGGGCCCCCTGTCCAGAGCCATCCTGGGCCGTCTTGGAGGCCTTTGGACGTCCTGGAGCCTGTTTTGCATGATCCACGACAACGGGCGTGATCGGGGGAGGGGCGGGCTCCCCCCCGATCACATCACGGCGGGTTTCGACCTCCCGGGCCCTCGGGAGGAGGAAGACAAGGAAGAGGGAGAGGGAGTACAGGAGGACGAGGGCATTGAGGAGGAAAAGAAGGAGCAGCAGCAGAAGCACAAGCAGGAAGAACAGGGAGGGCGAACGAGGGAGAGGAGAAACGATGCGTAGCCAATTTGACTCCAGCTCTGCTCCCCCTCCTTTGCTCCCCATCCTCCTCCCCCTCCTGCTCCCCATCCTCCTGACTCCTCTTCCCCCTCCGGGGGCGGCGGCGGCGGCCGTGGCGGGGGCGACGACGACTGACGATTTTCGCCTCTGCCGCGTGGGGGAGCTCTTCCGCCCCCCCTCCGAAGAGCGAGGTCCGAGGCTCGAGGAACGAGGTTTTTGTGACGTTGTTCTCGCTTCTTCGGCCCCCCGGTCGCGGACAACAGCGACGACGACGAATTCCTGGGAAACCCTTGAGACCCTCTGGAACACCTGGCAGATTCCCCGAGACACGCGGAGAAAACAGCGTGACGCGATCGGGGGGGGGAGGGGCGGGGGCGATTGCGGGCGGCGGCGATCACGAGCGTCATCGCCCAGGCCCTCGCGTCCAACGCGGCCCACGCGCCCAACAATCGGGGATGGACAGACCCCCCTTTAGTAAAACGTGGTTTAGTGAAAACGACCTGAGGCCCAAACCTGGCGGGCGCAAGCCTGGAAAATAACGGCCACGGCGCCCTCTCGAGAACCGAGAACGGACAATTCACTAATCGACGTGTCACTGTTGGGGGTTCTGTCCACCCCCGAAACAAGCCGCCTGCCCAGGGGCCCTTCGGCTCCGAGCACGCCTCGACGCGGGGCTCGCTGGCCGTGCCGGCGGCTCTGGCGGAGACACGGGCCCCCCCCGTCGGCGGCGGATGGGCGACTCCGGGTCGACACATCGCCCCCTGAGCGTTCCCCCCCCCCCCCCGACGTTCCCACTGGCTCTCGGGGCATGCCTTATGTCGGGCGTGTCCCCCTACAGGGGGATGTTCGACGAAAAATAAAAAAAATACCCCACAAGATGCCCAAGAAAGGCCAAAAGATACTCAAAAAATGGTCCCCAGACTATTCTTGGACTACTTTTTGATTGCTTCTGGGGTATTTTTTACTTTTTTTCGTCGAAAATCCCCCAAAAAAAAATCCCCAGACTATTTTTAGATTACTTTTTGGCTGCTTTTGGGGTATGCTTTACTTTTCGTCGAAAATCCCCCCCTGTAGGGGGACACGCCCCGACCTTGCCACTGGCTAGGGAGCCCACAAATGGATGTACGCGCCCAGCTATGTACATGAACACGCCCCCTCGATCCGCGAGACTGGCCGCGTGATACGAACGATTGCGCAGTGCGCACCCTCGAAACCGGCGTGGATTCATGTACAGGTACCCGAGAAAGCCCAAAAAATACTCAAAAAATAGTCCCCAGACTATTCTTGGACTATTTTTTTTTATTACTTTTGGGGGTATCTGTTATTCTTCGTCGACAATCCCCCTGGAGGGGGACGCGCCCCGACGTTGCCACTGGCCCTCGGGGCACGCCTCGGCTCTCGGGCAAGGCCCGCTCGGGACGCCCCGGGCGCCCCCGCGGGAGCGCCCCCGAGGCGAGGCGCGGCCTGCTGGAGGGCGCCCCGAGGCCGCAGGGCCGCCGAGAGCGGGGCGGCGCCGCCCAGAGCCCTCGGGCACGAGGCGTGCCCCCCGTGAGCCTACAGGGCAGTTCTTAAGACATCGGATTTTTCCCTACCTAGGCTCTGCCTGGAAGGGTTCTTACTCTGAGGCTTAAAGGGCCGGGCAGTGGAATGCGCCCCGGGCGGTTCTCCCGGCATCCGCCCCGCGGTTCCCCCAGTGACGTTCCCTTAGCTTCGCGTTGCTTATCTCATCTTAGCTTATCTGATGTCATCTTAGCTTAGCTTCATCTTAGCTTAGCTTAGCTTCATCTAAGTGTTTGATGTTGCTTTCCTAGATCCTCCAACTCCTAGGTAGGGCCGCACTGGGATAATTTTAAATATAGGATTTTTAGTACATGATTAATCTAGGAATACATGTATGCATGGACTCATCGTTGTTTTTGGTGCGGAATCCCTGCCTTTTGTTTTTAATCCCTGCCTTGTATCTATTAAAAACGGCACGGTACAGTGGAGGCCCGGGAGCGCCACGCGCTCCGCAGCAGGACCAGTGAGACCAGGAAACCCAGGGCACCCTGGAGGCAAGCAGGGTGTCCCTTGGCATGGGCCTCCACTGTAGTGGGAGAGAGGCAGCTGGGGGGACGCGCCTCGTCGAAGAGGTTGGTGAGGGAGGGGGACGGGGAGGAAGGACGGGGGGAGGAGGAGGGGAGGGGCGGGGAGGGAGGAGGGGGAGGAGGGAAGGAGGGGAGGAATGGAGGAGGAAGAGGAGGAGGAGGAGGAGGAGGAGGAGGAGGGGCTGCCCCCTCAACGCTGCCCATTGGCACTGCCCGACCCCCCTGGAGCCCCGGCCTGCTCCTCCTGCAGCTCGGCCGGGGCGCGCGCCGCCTCGGGCGCGGGCCCCTGCCCCGGGCTCCAGCACGCGGCGGCGCCGTCCGCGGTGTCGAGCACCTGGAGGGGGCCCACAGAGGACGTACGCGCCCAGCGATGTACGCGAACGCGGCCTCTCGATCCGCGAGACTGGGCGCGTGATACGATCTTTCGGGCAGTGCGTACTCTCGAAACCAGCGTGGATTCGTGTACGCGTAGGTCCTTCTGTCGCTCCTGAACCTGAGGAGGTGCGGCGGGCTCGCGTCGCGGGTGCCTGAGGACCTGCCAGACCAACCCAATCAACCCGGAGGCCCAAAAATTTCGGGCTGGGGACGGGCGGGCAACTGCGGGCTCCAACCGTGTGCGTGTGTGTGTCTCGGCGTTCGAGGGCGGCCCCCCCCCCCACTGGGAGCGGAAGGCAACTCTTGAGGCCCTCGGGCTGGGTTGGGGCGGCTTGGTGGGTGGTGACCAGTACCCTTCGAGGGTGCGAGGCCCCCGAGTTCTGAGTTCTGGGCGCTCACAGACGCTTCGGTCGGCTGCGAGCCTGGGGGAACTGAGAAGAACAGGCCCCCTCGGGTCATGAAAAAATCATGACTGGAGGTTTGTCCTTATCTTCGGCATGTCACGAGCGGCGAACGTGTCCGTATCCCGCGCCCTCGCGGACTGGACTCCGGGCCGCGCTGCCGCGGAGCTCAGCGCAGCCGCACGGGCACACTCCGCGCAGGGGCGCCCGCGGAAAAAAGAGAGGCCCCGGGGTCCGTGGGGCCGCGGCCAGGGGGGCCCGGCCCGCGGGGTCCCGGAGGGGGATGCGTCTTTCGCCCACGAGTGACGTCTGGCGCGCTGGCCCCTACAGGGGGATTTTCGACGAAACATTATATATATAAAATAAAACAAAAAAAAACTCAAGAAAAGTCCCCAGACCATTTTTGGACTATGCTTTGACTAGTTTGGGAATATGTTTTATTTTTTGGCGAAGATCCCCCTGTAGGGGGACAGGCCCGACACAGAGCTGGATGCTCAAGGACGGTTGAGAGCGCACCAGACACCTCGGAAGACAAGGTGATTTACCCGCCAATGAGCCCCATCTCTGGGCAATCTGATTTCAGGCTAAGATGTCAAAAAGGAGAGACAACGCTTCCCAAAGCTCCCCCCTGCGTCACCGAATTCTCTTGCGCTGCCATACAGTATCCACGTCCCGGCTGGGGACTATGACCCCTTTCCCTTTCGAGAGACGAGGCAAAGCCTGCGTGTGCGGAACATCCCTCTCTTAGGATTCACTAAACCACGCCCAACTGCTGTTCACGTGGAACCCTTTTCCGCTTCGGTCTTCAAAGTTCTTGTTTGAATATTTGCTACTACCACCAAAATCTACACCAGCAGCTGTTCCACTCAGGCTTACGCCAAAAGCTTCGTCACAAGCCCCCACGCCCTCCTATTCATTGACGCAGCACAATTACAACAATGGCTGGATATCGGTCACCCGCTTGAGCGTCATCAATTTTCGGGGCTAGTGCATTCGGCAGGTGAGTTTGTTACACACTCCTAAGCGGAATTCAATGTCCATGACCACCGTCCTACTGTTAAGATGAACCAACATCATCTTTAGTATATGATGAGCGCTTGTCGCCAGTTCTGCTTACCAAAAGTGACCCACTGAGAGTTCATCCTTCCAAGGAGTTCACCCGAGTAACCACTGGAACTTACCTATTTGAAGTTTGGGAATAGATCGAGGACAACGCGCCCCCGATGCCTCTAATCACGCGCTTTACCTGACAACCCCCACGCAGCTGTGCAGTGTTACGGAGGCAGTGATCGACATGGCACATGGTATCCTGTGGGGATGTTCTGGTGGCAACGACACCAATACCTCCATACTTGCACAAGGATGTACACCACTATAGCATGCCAACGTACACTGGGGTGATAGCACAGACGTACAAGACCTTGGCATGCGTCCTACCGCACAGTGGCATTCGCGGAGCACGCCCGCCGTGTCTGTGAAGCTCAATCGATGGCACGTGCCCGCTGGCCCACGTGCACACAAGACGCCACGATCCCCCCACGGGCCGCCCCACAGGTCCAAACCCACTGGACACGAGCGCCAACGAGTGGGAACCATCCCCATCGCTTACCGCTCATGCCTGGGCATGCAAAACTCGGGGTTGCCAACCTGCTCCCGAGGACCGCACGCATCAAGTGATCGAAATCCTGGAGCCCGCCACTGCTCAGAAGCCTCCTCAGAAAAAAGCCGAGCGGGTGCTGATCTCTCATGCGTTGCCCCGACTGGCCAGGAGAGCCCAGAATCGAATCGATAAATCGGATCGGCGATCGAAATGAATCGGATCGGCGGAAATCGGCAGCCGAGTCGGGAAAAGTCGAAACGGCGGAAATCGGCAGGCTGGCAGGCCTCCATTGAGACCAAATCGAACCGAATCGGAATCGGAATACATCGAAATCGAATCGAATCGAGTCGGAGGAATCGAAACGAGCCCCGACCTGCGCACGGCGGAAAACGCGCGCTGCACCGAGAGGCGGTGATGGCCGTTGTCGGACTGGATGGTGATCTGCGACCTGCCGCGGGCGGGCGGGCGGGCCACACGGAGAGCCCTCGGAGCGAACAACACCGAGCGGGCCCGCCGCAGGAGGCGTAGACACGAGCATAGGTGAAGCTACAGTGGAGGCCAGTACCATTTCTATGTATATAAATACATACTATATATCTAGTCATATAAGGGATAAATCCATGAATCAATAAATGAACACATGATTTCTGAAACCAGAAAAAACTTCCACAAGAAACCCAACCCTGGAACCCCAGGACGTTCATGGATTTTGTTGGTGCGGGAACGTCGCGCCGTCCACAGCAGAACCATCGAAACCCAAGAAACCCAGGCACCCTGGAGGCGAGCAGGGTGTTCCTTGGCATGGGCCTCCACTGTAGGTGAAGCTATCAGGATACATAACAAAAACCCGCGGCTTCGCACAACCTTGTGCAACTCGATGGCAACGGTGACCGAGCACTGGGGGAACGAAAAATGAATAACCATAAAAACATGGGGGTCCGCGCGGATTTCGTGGATCCGCACACACACACACACACACACACACACACACACACACACACACACACACACACACACGCCCACACGCCCACACACGCACGCACGCACGCACGCACGCACGCACGCACGCACGCACGACCA